TTCACCATAAAATATTCCTTCAACTTTTCTTGTAAGACAGATATCATGGTGATGAGCTTACTCAGCTTTTGTCTATGAAAGTGCTTATCTTTGCTTCATTTCTGAAGGACAGTTTTCTGGGTATATTAGTTTTCATTCACAGTTTTGTCTTTTCCCTTTAGCACTTTGAGTATATTATCCTACTGTCTCCTGACCTCTCAGTTTCAGATGAGAAATCATCAACTTGCCTATTGACATGCCATCATGACATGCAATTTATTTATTTTTTCTTGTTGCTTTTAGGTTCTTCTTTTGTGTTTCGAGTCTTAATAATTCGACTATAATATGTATTGATGTGGTCATATATGGATTAAATCTGAGTGGAGACTTTTGACTTTCTTTACCTGTACCTGGGTATTTATTTTTCCACATATTTTTTTGTAAACATTTATTTTTTAAAGCAATCTTCTCCCCCTTCATCTCTCCTCCTTTTTAAACTCCTACAATTCATTAGTTGTTCTTTTGATGCTGTTCTATAAATCCCACAAGCTTTTGTCTTTGTCTTTCTTTTTCATTCTTCTTCCTACTGACTACATATTTTCAAATAATTTGTTTCTGAGTTCTGTTTATTTCTGTCTGATCAGTTCTGCTATTGATACTCTATTGGAATTTTCAATTTCATTCATTGTATTTTTCAGCTCCAGATTTCTGAAATATATCTGTCTATCTATCTATCTATCTATCTATCTATCTATCTATATCTACATATGTTTCCTCTGTCAATTTCCTTCTTCTTTTTCTCTTTTTGTTGTACTGGGAATTGAACCCAGGGCCATATGCATGCTAGGCAAGCACTCTGTCACTGAACTATACTCCCAGCCCTCTGTAAATTTTCTAATTTGGGTGGTTTATTGTTTTTCTTATTTCAATGAATTTTTCCTATGTATTTTATTGATGTTCACTCAGATTTATTAACAATTATTATTTTAAATTCTTTGTCAAGAGGGAACATCCTGAAGCCTGGGTCCATAGGGAGTAGTGTGTAACTGATATGGGCCTTGAGCCTGAATCTGTAGAGGTGTTTCTTGAGCTTCAGTCTAAATATACAACCTGGTACTGGGGTCTTCTGGTAGAGGACTGGACCATGAGTCTACTGGAGCAAACCTGGACCCTGGGCCCAGTGGAGCCTGGGAACAGGAAAACCAGGCTGAAGTCCTTGTCCACTTGGCTAGAGGCTGAATATATGGGTGCGATCCCAGAGGCTAGGTGTACAAATACTGGTCTGGGTTCTTAGACTGGGCAAGGTATCTTTCTGTTTAACATATAACCTAGTCTTTCAGACACACACACACACACACACACAAACACAATTTTAAATATATAAATTTTATTTTTAACAAATTGATACCAACATGAATCCCAAGGAAAACGATAAAAGTAGACTCTATGCACATTGTTTCTGGAGCTTATAAGTGCAAGTACCTTTAGATTAATTCAAAAGCACGATGACTTAGCCAATTCAGATTGCTATAGTAAAATACTATTCACCAGATAGCTTATAAGCAGCAAAAATTTGTTTTTCACAGCTCTGGAGGCTACAAAGTGTAAGATTAAGGCAGTGGCAGATTCAGTGTCTGTGAAGGGTGTTTCCTGATTCTTAGATGTTAATTTGTTGTGTCTTCTCATGGCAGAAGAGGCAAGCAAACTCCCTTGGACCTTGTCTATAAGGGCACTAGCTTCATTCATAGGGGCTGTTCTCATGATGTCATTCTTCTTCCCTAAAGTCATTGCCTTTTATCGGCATCACCGCTGGGTTATGATTTCAACATATGAAATTTTAGGGGACACAAACATTCACATCACAGTAAATGGATTTCTAGAACCTTTAAGAAGCAGCCCAAAGGAATAAACACACTACATAATTGGTTTCTCTATTGGTATAATTGAGATCCTATTCAGAGAAATCAAAGAAAAAAAATGTGCAGGGTATCTAGTGAGAGAGAGTAGAGAGCAGAAAGGCTGGCCTTACTACCTATCAGGACTCCTGAATGTGGCACATCATCCTCTCACTCCAAGCACATTACGCCCCAATAACAATTTTGAGTGTGTCTTGTTTGCATTTGGATGACTCTGCCAATTCAGCCTCTCCCCACCCCATTCTCTTCAATATAATTAAATCAATTTTATTATGCTGAGTCTGATGACTCAGTGTGACTCTGTTAGCAGTCAGGGCAAATGGTTTGTTCACTACATTTCATGCTGGTTCTCCTTCTATTAACAAAAATGGAATTTTCAGGCTTCATTACAAGATTAAATTTCTGATAGAATTAAAGTTTGCTGATCCTTTCTGGGCAATTTTCCTTGTAGAGACTACTACCCTGAAAACTAGAGTCCCAAACCATTCTTTCTCCAGGGATGCATTATTTTTTTCTCTCCCCACAGAGAAGAAGCATCACAGTGTATCAGTGAACTTGGACAAACAGGTATACAAAATATAAATGAACTCTTTGAAATAAAGTAAAAATCTTAAAGAGTATGTAACCAGCTTAAAAAATCCTTGAGCTACAAGAGGTTAACTATGACTCTAAGGATGTGGCTATTCGAGATTTCTACAGAATGATTAAAGATACCTCCTGATTTTATAAAACACAATGTTTTGCTTTTTCCTTGTGCATATTGAAGATACAAGCAAACTTTATTTTGAATGGTCTGGTAATTGATTCCCTTCTCCCTTATAGCAAAACAAAACAAAACTAAAAATCAAAAACCAAAAATATTTCACTAAACACAAAGGTATTTTTTACTGAGTTAATTTATTTTTTTTATATATATATATATATATATATATATATACATATACATATATTGTATTTTTACCATATAAATATTGAATTGTCAGTATACTTTTGTCACATTTTATGAAGAGATTCAGGAGCCTGTGGCTAACAGATATAGATCCTAATAAAAGTAAAAGTGCAAACTACTTAGATATTAGACAGGTTTGATTAAAGTACTGTATTTGCTTTGACATATTCATTATTGTAGATTGAAGAAGGTAGATGAATCCAAGAAAATGCTTCCAGATTTCATGCATAAGAACATGATTGGAAAAGGACTATTATTTAACATAACTTGCTAAAAGTGAGTTTAATAATTTCAATGAAAAATGTTAATTGTTGAAATTCTATTTTTAATGAGTTATTTTTCTCAAGAAGCTTAGAGGGAGCCACCTAAAAGGGAGAGCTCTGTGCTGAGTCTCCCTGGGGCCCTCCTTGTTCTCTTCATTTTCTCAGTTTTGTCAAAGTGTGAGCTATTACATTAGGAAAAGGAAAACTGGTTGGTATGTGTATTTACATGCAATACAAACACATAGTTCTCACAAGGAGTCTATCAGGTAGAGCGTAAGTGAAGTTGGAGTGGCCAAGAAGTTTTGTCAAATTATATAGCAGTAAGTTGCAGAAGTGAAATTTTAACTTAGGTATATCTGATATCAAAATTCATTCCACATATTCCTCCTTACATTACAGTTCAGATGTTCAATTTCAAGGACCAAATAAAGTATTTTGCAAAATAAAGATCATTTCAAATGTCTATGTGTTATTACTGTAAAAAAAAATCCCAAACACAGGGTCAAATCCCAGGTAATCAGCAGTATGATATGGAAACATTTCAAAGCTGGTAACATGGAGAGGGATCTACTTTGGTAATTTTGACAATGAAGACATATAAAGTAAATGAATATAATATGAAGACCTATCTTATCTTTTGACTTTGTTCCTTGACTTTGGATTCTAGTCTGGCTTCCTCTGTGTATTGTAAATAAGTAAATAAAGCCAATCAGTTTCATAGGGATATGGACATTGAAAAGAAGCTGTACAGTAAATATTTCTGAAATAATGATGAAGGGTACGATTGACTTATTGTAAGTCTTCCCAGTTCTTCACTGCTTCTTTGCCATAAACTTTGTAGTGGGATATTGAAGCTTCTTTTGTCTGCCTCTATTTCCCTTCTTTTTGGATCTAGGCTAGCTTTGTGTCTTGCTTTGGCCAAAAGAACATGATAAAATTGTTCTGGACCAATTTCGGGTGCATCTTGGAAGCTTCTGCTTCTTTCCTGCCCAGAAAAGAGCCAAGATCAGTCTGCTGGATCCTGAGAGACATGAGGCCCAGTTATTTCTCTTACCCCAGCCCTGTACCAGCCTTTTGAGTGAGCTCTTTTAAAAGAGCCAGGCCTTGGATGATCTGTACAAACATACATAAGCCTCAGTGAGAGCAAATAAACAACTCACCAGAACTGACCTGGCAGACCTGCAGATTCAGGTGCAATACATGATCATTATTTTAAGCCACTTATTTGTGAGATTTCTTATTATACTGCAATAGTTTACTGATAATGAGGGTTAAGGAGCAGGAACATTGAGCATTGCATAAAGTAACAAGAAACTGGAACAACACCCTGGAAAGCAGGGAGGACATGCAATTTAGGACTGGAAACTAAGAAGCAGGTGAACTAGAATGCAATTTTTCAACTAATTAGCATGTGTGTGTCCTTAATTCTGAAGACTAAAATAGTTAAAAATATGTAAGCATATCTAAATTGGTTACCAAAAGGTAATATCTAAAATTCAAGAAAAAATGCCAAAGGATATTTTTAAACAAGAATGTTTGGCTTCCCCCCTTGATTGAAAAACAAAAATCCACTCTTTGAGTATTATTGGAATTTAAGTGGTCTGGCCTTAAGCTTTCTGCTATTTCCTGCCATAAGTTGTTTGAAATGGCTGAATAAAGTAAATCATTTTGTTTTGGTATATGAGCTTTATGTTGTTGCTCTCCTTTTAGCTGAAATGAGCAGTGGAAAATAGCATTTTTGTGAAGTTGGTTTTCTAAAATATGCATCCAGTGTTCCAAACAGCAAGCTAATTTTCAAGTTCATCAGATGTGTATTTATGTGTGAGTGTATCTGTCACATAAACATTTTGTCAATCACCGCCTTCCTTCTGTTCTGACACAGAATGTTGGAGCACCATCTAAAATGTGATGAATGTCATACTCGTTCCAAGTGAGAATTAATTATGGCAATGACAAGAGTGCTACCAAAGCCACCCATACTCTATGACAATGTTGCATTAACAGAAGCAATCAGTAGAGTTTCAAATAAAAATGTGAGTACACAATCTATTTAGCAAACCATTCAGTTTCGCCCTTAAATTAGCTTATCCTTTGAATGAAATTTTGCCTAAGTCAGCTCTGAACATGAATACTGATCATGATGATGAACCTAAGGCCTGAAACTGATCATAAAGTGGGAAATGATCATGAGTCAAATGAGAAAACCAGCTATTCTATTTTCCCTCTATATTTTGTTTGAAGGTTGATTTTTTAAAAACGACATTGAGATAGGTTACGAATATGGGGATAATTCAAAAAGGGATTTAAAGAGGATTTGATCCACACAATTGGAACAAAAATGATGCTAAGCTAGGACATTTGATATGTTTGCAGTATGACATTTTAGAATACCTAATATATCTAGATCTTTACATTTCCTGCAAACTTGTTTTCCTGAGATCTGATATGTTCCTAGGGATGTTATTATAAAGAGGATAAGATTGGTATGTGAATATGGCTGAATATAAATATAACAGAACAAGTAGCATGAAGAGGATCATACCTAAACCTGGTCATTTAAAAATAAGTTTAGAATGACTAAAAGATATTAAATTTCATCCTTAGAGGTTAGGTTCTGATATAATATGGTTACCCATGCATTGCACATACACTTGAGGATATCTGAACTATTACTTGACACTTATTATAGACAGTACCAAATTATCCTAAATAATAATAAAAAGGATAGCATATAAAGAGATATTAAGGGCCAAGAATTTTGCTCACATTTTTCTCACAAATTTATTCTATTTTTTCAATATACATAAAAAATAATGTGTGAACCATCTTAAATTGTCAATATTCCATCATATTTTAGCTAAAATTGACCATTTATTATGTTCCATCTAATTGAAGTATAGGCAAACAAATACAAAGTGAGCAGAATTCCCTACTATTCCCAAACAAAAATTTTATGCCTAAATAAAATTCCAAAGCCTACCTAAATGATCTATAGGTGTCGCGACCCCTTGCCCTCAAGGAAGACGCAACTCAGGAATCTTCTTTCAGCAGTTTATTCAGGCCCTTGATATTTCTTCTTCTCCCTCTTGGATGCCCCTCCCAGCCTTAATAAAGCATCCCAAGCCCCAATGCAAAGCTGCTGCGTGGAGCTTTCTCACAGGGTGGTGAAAAATCATGTGCCAACTCTCCCAGATAAGGAGTTGTTTGTCACAGACCACAGCGGAGCCAGCGTCATCTTGTAATGGCGACCATAATCTGCAGAAACGGCAGAAGCGGCTCACCACAGTTCCCCCTTTTCTGTTTTCTTAAAACAATACAGGCGAGAGTAGAGGTCCTATCCCACTGTGCAGAAGTGGCTGCATAGTATGGCTCAGTCCTAAGGAGGGCCCTTCCCCAGATCTGAGGCCATATCAGCCGACGCCTTTTTTCGTGGGGCGGGGCGTGGACGCGTCTAACCCGCATGCAATAGGACATGCTCTCCTTGAGGTCCACGTCAAGGATCACTCAAGTGCAGTGCCTTGCCTTGCATCCTGTATCGTGACGATGGTGGACGAAGGGGGATAGCTGAGGCTGAACTGTGGCTGTTTATAACGACAAACAAGTTGACAGCACCCTGAAAGAAAGGCACGGACTTTAAGGCGATAGAAAAGCACTAGTGTGGAAATCCATCTGCGTGCAATGGCAGTAATACCGGCAGAGTGCAAGGGCTTTCCAACACTAAGAGAATAACAAGGAAAGTCATGTCGATCCCAGTGCAATGTTATAATAACTTGGGGTGTAACGACCATGACAAAGGTTTACTGCTTAAGATGCGCAAGCCAGACTTGAGGCGAGTTGCCATTTTCTAAAGCTGCAAGAGCTTGTATGATCATAGCCTTTTCTTGTGCATGGCGAGTTTTAAGGCGACAGAGAAGCCACAAACAAAGTACAACACTGAAGCAACACATTGCACCAAAAATGCCTACTCCCACCCACTCTTTGAATAAGGAAAAAGCAGAAGATATCCAATCGGTGAATTGACCCAAAGTCACAGGATCGGCATGGGTACTGTTCAAGACAGCTATCTGGGTTAGCTGAGACTGGATCATGTTTTCTGCTTCCATGGACCAGGTTCCGGATGAATATTCTCCGATGATGCGGGAGGCATTTCTGGAATTATTAAATCTGACAGAGGTTATACATAAATGTGCATGTTGATCAATACAACCCAAATGTACTAGGTCAGACAATTCCTCAACTTGAGCTTGAAGCAGATCTATCCTTTGATTAGCAGCTAGAATCCCAGATAAAGTGTGTTGATTAATTCTACTTTGAGATTCAAGTATGGTGGATGTTTGTTGAATAACCTGATTAATAGTGGCAGCAGTTTGTACCTGGCTGGCCATGGCTACTCCAGCTGTAACTGCTGCAGCAGCAGATACCGCCACAGCTGTCACTATGGCTGCCGTAATTCCAAAATCTCTACAGGCTCTAATCAGTTCAACAATAGGAAATGACTCTGGATCTGAAGTAACCGGGATCGGGACAAAGGTTGGAAATTTCATAACCATTGCCGTAGTCCAGGAGCCATTCCAACACTCAGACAAATAACAGGTAATATTAGAACAATTAAGCATCCCCTGTGATGTAACATTAGCCAAAAGAAACAGGAACGGAGATTGGAGACGGACTGCTGCGGAGGGTAATGTAGCATTAGATAATTGTGAATTATTTGCAGAAATTTTAAGCCTCCTACCTCGCTCCGAGTCTTGGGTACTGCCAGAAACATTAAACAGCCAACTTTGGACTCCTAATATTTCCCTGGGGAAACACAAGCGCGGACTAGACTAGCCCAATCTGAGGGAGTCATGCAAAATCTAGTAAGTCCCTCCACCTGAGTGAGAGTGAAAGCGGCATCTATGCCATAAGTGCGGACAGATTCTGCCAAGGTTTTAATTATCTTAAAGTCTAAAGGCTCATGATATCTTCCCCTGTTATTGTCCTGAAATACAGGGTATGCAAGTCCCATATCTGTATTAACTGTCCTCCAAACTTGTGCATGAAAAGATCTCCCGGAACCTTGGCTCCCCCCCACATACGGAGGTGGGGCAATCGGCACCATATCTTCTTCTAGATATTCTACCTCCTCCTCCTCAGAGTTTTGTTGACCGATGTTAACTCCCTTCCCCTTCTTACAGTAGGCCTGCGTGCCCTGTGTCTCCTTTTTCTTCTTTTTCATTTTTATCTTATGTAGTTGTTGTAACAATATATCAAGGTCCTCAGAACTCTCTGAGTCGCTTGTGTTCTCAGGCGTTTTTAATTCGGTCAAGTCTGGGTAGAGCCTTCTCCTATTTTTATCTTCAGGCTCTTTTGCCTTCTCACTACTGTTACTTTTAATACTCTCTGCCACTTCACTACATGATCCTTCAGATTTTTCCTCATGCAATTGCTCAAGAATAGCTTGACCCTCTCTCACAGCTTCCTGGCATTTACCATCTGTAAGGCAACCACGGACCATTTTCCAAAGGGGTATCACCCCACCCTCTAATATGCCCTGCTCAGAAGCAAAGTCAAGATCTTTGCCTAATTTATCCCAACTAGGCACAGTAAGGCTGCCCGAAAATGCAAACCACGGTGCAGCGATATCTATCTTCTGTAAAAATCTCTGTAAAGTACTATGTTTCACTTCCAGTCCCTTGGAACGTAACAGGCCATCTAGGGCCAGGAGAAGCGGACTTGAAGATGCGGCACCCATGACACAACAACAAAGAAAGCACAAAAAACAGAAAGCGAAAGTAGAAGCGAAAGTACACAGTGCAGCTGCAATAAAATGTAAGGCTCTCTCTTTCATTACAGAGGAGCTGCCCCGCTTTGGTCGCGGATCCCACTTACTAGGGACTAACCCCGCTTTGATCGCGGATCCCACTTATTGGGACTAACCCCGCTTTGGTCGCGGATCCCACTTACCTGGGACTAACCGGTGCACCACCCCTGACTGCTGAAAGTTCTGGTTCCCGGGTCTCGGCGCCACTTGTCGCGACCCCTTGCCCGCAAGGAAGACGCAACTCAGGAATCTTCTTTCAGCAGTTTATTCAGGCCCTTGATATTTCTTCTTCTCCCTCTTGGATGCCCCTCCCAGCCTTAATAAAGCATCCCAAGCCCCAATGCAAAGCTGCCGCGTGGAGCTTTCTCACAGGGTGGTGAAAAATCATGTGCCAACTCTCCCAGATAAGGAGTTGTTTGTCACAGACCACAGCGGAGCCAGCGTCATCTTGTAATGGCGACCATAATCTGCAGAAACGGCAGAAGCGGCTCACCACATATAGGGTTACAAGAAAGAGAGCCAAATACAATTTAAAAGGATACCAAGCCCGACCAGTGAAGATGTGGAATGGGAGAGTCTAGCTTTCTGATAAACTGGGAGAAAGAGTGGCTACAGAAATTAATATGGGAGCAGATGGAAAGATGTGGGTACAAGTTACAAAATGCATTCAAACATGAATCAATAATCTATAAGTAAGACAAAAAGTTTGATGGAAAGAGAAACCCATACAGAGCCCCGCAAAGAGCATTTACAAATAACTTACAAATATATCTTATTGTCTACACACCATGGTCACCTGCAGGACTTTTCTTTGTTGTTGCTGTGCTGTGAATTTTAATTTTACTTCATTTTAAGGGAGAGCAATATATATTTTATTACTGCCTTTGATGATATGAAGCTTCGGAAAGTTATTGTTTCAATCATTTTGAAGTTAGACAATATTTATAAAACATAGGTGCTATGTTCACATGTTACCAACGTATTTTAATAAAATAAAAACGAAGAGAAGTATAAGAATAATAATAAAGAATTCCCCAAATGTGAGATCCCAAATCATTTCCAGGAGGTAAATGGGACAGTAACTATTGCTTGTTTCTCCTGAACAAGGTACATCAAGGCTGTTGTGTTCTTCTAAGAAATGTTAGATCACTGCAACAATGAGGGGGAATATACACTGTTGACTCATTAAAACATCTCTGTAGAGATCCTGTTTGCTCATCTTCTATTTTTTTTTATACAGAATACTGTAAAACCTGCCTTTCCTGCTTAGAGTCCCAAGATAGGTGAGTCATCATGACTCCAAACTTCTGTTGTGAATAAAGCAAGAAGAAGATAAAGAGCAGCACTTTCTCTTGCTGGGAGCTGCAGATAAACCCCCTGTCACTTACCTACACTCATCCTCAGTGAGAACAAAGCCAGCTCTGTAGCTGAGTCCAGACAGCATCTCTGACTGGAGCAGACCCGAGGGGACATTCCAGCATGGGCCTGGCACTGCATTTGGTAAATGACATAAAAATAGAATTTCATGTTCGACTCTTTTTTGAGTCCTGAAATGTTCTAAAAATAAGTCTGATGTTCTCTGGACAGGTAGGATTGCCCTGACTTGATGTATCTGTAGGACAGGAATCAACTTTAGGATACCTAAATACTTTGAGGAGTATGAAAAATTTTATATGCACACACAATATTTGTTTTTCTGAGAAAAGGATCTGTAATGTTATTATATCCTTAAGGACAACTAAGGTCTAAAATAAATTAATCACTACTGATACAATGTAAAAAGTCACTTGTTGGCAGAAGGATCTCAATGAAATTGAGAGAGTTTCAAAAGACAGCAAGAATATCCTCGATTGGAAAGTATCTGTGAAAACCAGACCAAAGCAGTGAATTTTTAAAAACTTTCAATATAATCCATTAAATTATTCTCTATTTGGAGGATACTGATAAACCAATATTGAAGTGAAGTACATAAAATTTCAGTTATGATTTTCTAACATCTGAATTAGAAGACTCTCAAAAAAAAAAAATCCAAGAATCTGTCTACAAAAAGTTACACACTGTGGTTATTGCTTGTGAAACTAGTATAAAGACCACCAAACTCATTCTTCCTTCTCTGTGTCCATATCCACCAACCAATCTTCTAACAGTTGGTCTTTCAGGGTAAAAGCATATGCCTCTAGGTGGGCAGTGCACAGTGGATAGAACATTTACTTTCCACAGAAGTTGAATTTCCCAATGCAAATTAGCAAATCAGCATCTGCATTATAGATCCTTCTATGAATTTGGTTAACATCAGTGTGTTCCAAAGATCTTGTCTCAGCCCATTCTACTTGAAACCCAAATCACTCAAAGATACAGTACCATGTTTAAGGTCTAACGGTTAGCATCAATAAAGCTTGCCTCAAAATCTTTGCTGTTTTGCAAAGAATAATGCAGTCACACAATAACTATTCATCAAGAAAGTCTCATAGGCAGCTTCTTTGAAGTTTAGAATATGTATAACATTCACCATTCATCTCCTCGGATTGTGAAGGGGCTTCAGGGTTTGAAGGCGTTTTAGTAGCTTAGCCTATAGAATTAAAATTTAGAAATTATTTCTCATGCATGCTGAATATTTCTGTAATTCAACAGCAAATATTAAGGTGATTTTTAGTTATCTAAGGATGCACAAAAACCTGGACACAGAAAAAAATACTGCTCAGTCTGTTGCTCTGATCTTTCAGGAAATGCCATTTACCTGAAAATATCCTCCCCCCCCCAAAGTGTGACAAAATAATGACAAATGGGGTTCTATGGAGGAGACTATGCCAAGTGCCAAGGATAGATTAGCAGTAGGGGAATGTAATCCTGAACTGGAAGCAGGTTCCAGACTCTGACACTTGTACCACAGCTGAGAACCCCACGCCATAACAGACACCTTAGCTTCTGACCTATGTGCTTAGTGGCCCTCAAAACATTTAGAAAATATTTTCTTTGATTTGATGAGGAGATAACAATAATAAGGTAAAGAGGTTCAATGAAATAAAAAACTAGAGTAGCAATTGATGGTTTAAAAAAATGAAAAAAAAAGTTGTCCTACATGTTTTTACAACATAGTTTGAGTCTTTATATACACTGTCAATCACATAGGAAAAACAGTAAAAATGTTCTCAGACTAATTTCAAATTGATACTACTGAAGTTGTATCACAGAAGCATTGAAAATTTTCAAATTGGGAGATTCATGGAAAATTTTATTAGCCCTTCCAATATTTTAAAACACTTTACTTCTCTAACGTATGTTTTATTATATACCTGAAAACTGGTTAGTTGGGGTGACTATTTTGTCTATGTTAATGCTAAGAAAACAAAACAAACAGAGAAAAAAACACTGCTAGTCTAGGTTGTTCAATACCTTGGCCTAAGAACAGACTTGTATAAAAGTTTTTGGAGGTCAATGCTCTATCAGTTTTGAGGAGATGTCAAAGATAAAAGAGAATTTTATTTTATTTTTTTGCAGTGCCTGCATGTAAATGGTGAGGTGCAGCTGTATTCAAGTGGGAGAATGTTTTCTATGCCTATGATGTGATCATTTCCTGATTGCTTTATTTCAAATTTATGTTCTGTCTCATTTTTAGTGCTCATGATGCAAGGGCATTGTGAGTGGTGAGAGATGATTACTTCCCAACACAAATGTATGAGAAATGTTGGGGAAATGGTTCCGGGAATGAGTGCCTACTACAAAAAAGTGAAGAAAAAGATAATAATTTATATAGAGAGGAGATGATTGATTAATCATTCTTTATTTATTCAGATAGTACATGGACATGGACTTGATACCCAGACCTTTGTTCTACACACTTGAGCATTTATTCAATTATTCTACAAATGCATAGTGTGTTCTTACTATGCGATGTGGATGCATATCTTGGGTTGTACACCTTTAGATAACATCAACACATGTAGCACTGTGTTTTAAAATAATAACAGGAAATATATATAAAAAATCTTAGAATATAATGTTGAAAAATGATACAGGAAAGAAAGTGAAAAATAAAGTGACAAACTTATTGTATATGATTTTGCAAGAGTAGAAAGGGTTACCACTGAGACAAGATCATGAAGAAGTACAGAAATACTTTGTATTATCTCTAAAAACTCACTAGTATGATTTTAAATACTGTAATTTAGTCATTTCATTACTGATCATCTCACAATGTATATCTATCTGGGTGTATATATCTTTACCAGTTTAAGTTTTAAGTCAGCATCGATTCTCAGAAGCCAAATCTTAGCTCAAAGAGGATGGTTAATTTTAGGCTTTGTATCTTTACTGTCACATTGATCTCTTGAAAATTGCAGCACTCAATACCCAGACCAGTAGTATACCGTAAAGATTAACATAGACTTGAGTGACTAAAATGGAAAAAAAAAAGTCACAACTAGTATGTGCCTACTGCTTCAGGCACAATGCTTTCACGCATATTATATTTAAATATCACAGCTGCTCTGTGGAACATTTTGTGGTTGAAATTAACACCCAGAAAAGAGCTTGAATGATGCATAGATTTGGAAAAGGTGAAAAGAATGAGGAGGTGCCTTCCTGATGGCAGAAGCTGCTGGAACATGAAGATGTGAAAAAATTTAGTTATGTGGTCTTTGAGGTGACCCTAAAATAGCATCCTTGGTGTCTCTGTGTGCTCTGAACCAAAGGAAAATAAAGAACCCTAAGGCAGAGAGGAACAAAAATGACCTCTCTGTGGGTTTTTTCAAACAGCATCCCTGATCGAGTCATCAAAGGTAAATGTTCCCACTCCAAACCAGCTCAGCCCACTACTGCTCCACTCAGGCACAGGGTCCTTGAAAATTTAAGACATGGATAAAAGAGGAATGTGCATGTGCTCTGCAGGTAGGAGAAAGGAGCTAGATTATGGGTGGATTAACTCCTTCTATTCTTGGCAATCAGTAAATTATTCCTCACTGTTGGGAAAAGCAGTGAGCAAGAGGAGGAGGAAAGTCTAGGATTGCTAGAGCTAGAAGTGTTTTTTTCCCATGTAGAGACAAAATCATGAATAGGAATAAGTAGTTGCCCCCTACATCAGGGCAAACCGAGGAACAGGGCTAAGACTGGCGGGGGAAGGCTTGTGTGAGAATTACTGAAGGCTCAGTTGTGGGTCCTCTTCAGTATCCCAACTCAGCTTCTGTCTTTGAGGGCAGCTAGTGATTTCTTAGCCGTGGAGAAGCAGCATGGCTTTCCCATTTCTTTCATACTGTCTCTTTTGATTGCTCTGTTTGTTGAATTCTGTGTCAATGGAGAAGATACAAGGCCTTAAGAATGATTTTGGTCTTTTTTCACTGATCATTGTCTCCAGGTGGCATACAGTCCTTCACTATGCTCTGCTTCTATGAACCAAAACCACTAAAACAAATATTGGCAGTGAAATAATTCCACCATGTGTTATTCTAACACCACAGTTCAGAATTATGAGTAGTCCGTGGCCACAGACAAGGTAAGAAAATTACTAATTTCTCTTTTAGGGTAAGATGTCAGGGCTCCTCTTGCACCAAGCCATTACTGTTTTGGTCATTGAGGAAGGTCACCAAGCTTCCTCTCTGAGAAGAGATGATTCTGCAGAGAATTCAATTTGTCAAGTACAGTTCACAGATCAGAAGCCTGGATGATAGCTTCAGGGTAGAGCAGCTGAGTAGAAAAATGACAGCGCCTCTAGAAACGAAAGGGATGCACATTACAATTTTTGGCTTAAGTATAAAGCTGCCCTCAGCCACAGACCATGGCTTTATGCAGGTAACCCTTCAAGAGTCAGATAAAGGTTCTATTCCAATTTATAACTATGACTGCTGTAAAATGTTGAGTTATGCATAGTCTTTATCGCTGTGGACAATGACCTGTGCTTTATGGCGCTATTGCAACCTGAGCATCCCCCTCAAGGCTTTGGCTCTTATGGTCTGTGAAGCAGGTTCACTGTGCATGGTTGCCAACTTGTCTAAGTCCAGAGAGACAGGACACTTTCACACACAAAACAAGCTAAATGAAATGAGTTTATTACTCACAGATATGCAGCTAGAAATAATGGAAGACTTGCATGTCTTGGGAGAACTGAGTTGTCCAAAGTCCCCTCAAGCACTGTCTTCCACATTCCCGTAAATAATTGGGACAACATATTCATTAGGCATAGATGTTAAACTGTTGGTGATTATATTTGAGAATACTACTTTCCCAAGTAGATTAAAAATGTTATTCATAACACTTGAGACGTATTTTTGTGTACAGTGAAAGCCTGCATGGAGTCAGTCGTCAGGGTGCCTGTTAAATCTGGTAGATAGATGCAAGGACTTTGTGGACCCTGACCTCCAGTTTCCCTCAGCAAGACCAGCTGGAAAGAGAACCAGCCTTGGGTGTGTGTCACTACTTCCCTATGCTCAGAGGCAGTTCCCCATCTTTTCCCCACATGGATGTTCTTCAGCAGGTGATAGGTTGGTCCACATCTGGCCCTTCCATAGTGCTATTTGCATTCTCCCCACAGTAGTAACTTTTATCTGCTGTTTTCTCAGCACTTTCTAGAGCCCTACTCTTGGGATTCAGTTTCGGCTCCCAGAGATCCCTGAGCAGCAACTGCTCGCTGCCTCAAAACATCAAACAGCATGTGGTTTGCAAACATAATGCTGCAGAATGCAGCGTTCTCCTCCTCCTTGTCTTCCTCTCTCTATTTCTTCTTCTAGTGAAACAGCAAAAGTAGCCATAATCCTTTTCATCTCAGCACAGGGTTAAACATACATTTCTTTCTTTCTTTTCTTTTTCTTTCTTTTTTTTTTTTTAAGGCTGGCTAAGGAAACGGCAGAGTTTGATACATTATTTTAATACTAGAAGGGGAAGATATTACCAACAATGTAAACACTGACTCTTCAAATATTTTTGATCATTTTGTCAACAATGGCTCTAAAAATATTTTTCTGTGTTTGTACAAAGACAGGCACATCATTACAGAAACGGTGACTGCATGAGAAAGAAGTCCAAAACATATGCCTGATTTGATCTAGGGCAGCAAAAACTCCAAAATGTTTTCAGTCGTGTTTCACTCAATGACAGGGAGACGATACTAACACCTGATTTTCACATCCCATCAGAAGGGAGAATTTGAAGGCCACTGAGCACTGAGTTTTCCCGAGGTACTGCAATTACAGGAACACCTGTGTTACCTCACTGTGCACTGAGCCCTATGAAATGCAATGTTCCAGAGCTGCCAAAATGTCTCATTTCTTGCTTTTAATTCAAGAGCCTAATTGTGGTTGATCTGGCTATTATGTTGTGCTATGCTTCATTTATAAGCATACAGCACAAAGGCTAATAATGAGAAATTTAACTAAAAGGGCTCTTGTAAGCATTCAAGAGCTCTGTGTACCTTTCTTTAAATACAACTTATGGTATGTTTTCAGAAGGAAAATGGTTTTCTGAACAACAAAAAAATTATCTTTAAATCATGAGGATGCTTGAACTGAATATGGTAATCTGGACTCAAATTCTGATCTTTGATGCATCTCAGCTCTAAAGGCTGAGGTATGTAATTTGAGCTTCATCCAAATACTAGTAACATAAAAAGTGGAGTTTGTTCACTAGATGATATGGTGTAGTTTTAATATCTGAACCAATTTACAGTGACATGTATTTTCTCTTTTTAAGCCCAAGTCAGTTCAAATGATCTGGAAAGGTCTAATGAATTACATTATTTGTATAATCACTTTAGAAAGGTAAATATTTTGAGACTATATATTTTATATGTATATATGTATATATATATATATATATATATATATATATGAATATGGATATTTTTTAGACTACATATTTAATAAGTAAGTTGCACTGAAATGAATTCAACTCTGAAAAATCAACACTCTTCTGTGATACCCCCTTAGAAACAGGATGTGTTATTTTCTTTTAATTAACAGGTCTCATGAAGAGGATTAGGAACAAAATGTTGTCAATACATTAGCAATAAAGCCAGATTCCCAAGTGGTAAATATTCCATTGTACAGATATAAACCAGGGAAAAAATAGCAATCTTGTTAAAATTTTAAACAGCACTTACATTTATATATATTCTTTGGCTTAACATAAATTTCTGTGGGAAATGAATTCCCTGAGATTGCGGCTGAGCCTGACTTCTGTACTCAGCACTCAGCAGATCACATACACACAGTAGACCCTCAGATGTGAGATAAATGTATTGAATTGAGATAAACTTCACAGTTTACTACTGAAACATTTCAGTGACTATATCTGTGAATTTCTTGCTCTGATTTTTAGACATTTCTTTATTATCTAACTGAATTGTTAGACTTATTTTCAGTGAAGTCTCACAGTATAGATTCTATTACCCATCTCTCTCAAGAAGGAACTCTGGATGTCTCTGTAAAGCTATTACAAAATAAAGAAAATGTTACTTGAATGAAAAAAAAAAACTTAAAATACTTCACACAAAAATGAAAACCATGGAACAAATCCTTATTTGGACATATATAAAAAGATTCTAAAGTAAAAATTAAGAAGTCAAACTTGTCAATGTTATAAAGAAACAATAGATGGACAAGAACAATTTCTTACTACAATGTAAGGATGATAGAACAAAAATTCCTAACGTAAATAATTGTGAACACAAGAGGGAAAACCAATTTATATGAATAGGGGCCACAAAGCATTTGGCAAAACTTAGTAGAGTCAGGAGACTATTACTAAAAATATCTTAGGAATGAAAAAAAAAAAAAAAAACAACCCACAACTATTAGAATTAGCTAAAGACAGAAATGGTAGTGGTACCACCAATTTTGTTCAACTTAGTTTCAAACATCTGCTCATTCACCTAGTACACATTTATTGATCTGCTCGTATGTGTCATTCAGTATCCTGAGAAGTGAGGATGTGAGGGGCACTGATGGGAAACTCCTGTTCTCATGGAACTTCCAGCGACTAAGGAGTGAGATGGTGAGCGCACAAGAATGACATATGGTGGTGATGAGGGTCATGGTACATATTTTATGAAGATGTGAAGATTTTCTTCTGGATGTTCCTATTTTCTTATTGAAGTATGAGCCCAAGAGTGTCACCCAAGAATTAAGAGGGTAAGATATTGGAGAATAGAAGGGATGCAATAGTCACTGCAAGACTGAGAATGAATTGAATGGAGAAAAGAGATAGAGTTGCCAGGAAGTATTGAAGACACACATGAAATATTTAAAGAAATTGCATATATTTTCTTTCATCCACATTCAGTTACTAATGGAAGAGCTGTACTACCAAAGTCATAAGTTCAAAACAAAACAAAGTTAAATATTAGAAAAACATAAAGTTATTTTTAAATGACACATGTATGTTTCTAGGAAATAAAAAAAAATATTTCCCTAAAAGTACAATTTTGTATATCAATTAAAATTAAAAGTATCACTAAAAATTAGAATTAGTGAATGAGGCTAGCAAGACTGCTGTCTAAATGGTAAATATACAAAAATATTAGCCTTTTTATATTAGTAATAATTTTTAAAATGTGGAAAAAGATTAAATTACTTTCAAAGAGTGACCAAAATGAAATATGCAGGAAAATGTTAAAGGTTCTAACATGGAATGGAAAACTCTAAAATTCCCAAAAGAGTAAAACAAAACAAAACAAAACAAAAAAGCTTAAGTCAGAATGTTCTTAGATGATAAAATTAATATGATCAAGATATCAACATCTTTCTAATAAATGTTTATAATAAAATTTAAATTAATATTTCAATTTAATAATATTCCAATTAACAAATGATTTCAAATTTTCCAATATTTAGATACTTTTGAAAATTAGTAATAGACACTATTCTTGGTAAGGAAAATCTCCACTATGTCTACCTCTCTCTATATCATCTATGTTGATACATATATATGTGCACATATTTCCTCCCAAATAAGTGTATAAGAGGAAGAGAGCAAGAAGTTATGGATTAGTTTTGGAAGATGGCAAAATAAGTGTTTTTGTCTTTATATACTAAAAAAAATATATACATGTGGTTTTTGACAGAGTACCTTTATTTATTTATTTGTTTGTTTATTTATTCATTATGTAGTGTTGAAGATTGAACCCAGTGCCTCACATATGCTAGGCAAGTGCTCTACCATTGAGCTAAAACTCTAGCCTTTTATATACTTTCAAATATGTTAGGCTTAATTGTTTTATAATTTTCTGTGTTTATTATTAAAGACAATCTTTGAAAAATGTTTTTAAGAGCATACAGATATCATTAAAGGTTAAATAGAAGGCGAGAAGCCAAAGGATTTGTTCTGCAGCAGTCTTCACCTAAGTCATCTTTACATGAAAAGTATTTCCCTCTCTTTTGAATATTTTGTGCATTGTTGATAGGAGTGATTTCCTTTCCATTTCCAAAATGAGAACTGGTCTAAGAACAAGCCCTGAAGTGGGACCAGGGGTGTGAGTTTGACCTTCC